TTAAATATTGTTGATGGCAATGGGGGGGGGGGGGGGGGGGGTGGTGGGTTTGTTTTGACTCTTGGCTCAGGAAGTCATGTGTGTGTTTTTGGGCACTGCTCTGTCACACAAACACAATGCTCAAAGAGTTCAAAGTTTTTACAAAACATCAAAAGTCCTCCTGCGGTATTGTCATGCAATATACATGTTGACACGATTGAGACAACGATGTCGAGTTTTTTCAAGAGTTCTCATGTTCAGTCTTGGCAGTGAAAGGGTTAGGCCCCAGGTCAGGTCGATGATGTCACACCTCTGGTGATACACATGTTCAACCCGTCTGCCATGCGTCGGGGGGGAGCGGAGGACGAGGCCGTTCAGCCAGAATCCATGACAACAAAGATGTTTTCTAACAGTTCAGCCTCGGGCCCGCTTTGAGCAAACATCCTACTCAGGTGTTACGTCAAATTTCCATAAATAAAAGCGACTTAAGCAGAAAAAAGCATTAAGTGAATTGATTTTTGTGACTCGTCTGTTCAACTATTGTACAAGTAAAGCCACAGTCTTTTATAGGTGAAGAGAAAACAGTGTTTTGACACCGACCAAACTCGACAATCTGGTGATGAAATGCTACAGGCTGCAACGCGCAGGACAAATCTAGCATTTCTACATCTACCACATTGCCAACACACAGGATATTGACATAATCTTGCTCGGGTGCAGTTGCCTGGCAACACAAGCAGCAACACTTCTTCTTAGAGAATTTTCAAAGCAAAAGAAAAAATCTTACAAAGCTATGCAAAGTAGTATAAAACAATAAATAGAAAAATCTTTAAAATAAAGACAAAAGTCAAAAACATATGCCCACACTCATTAAATCTGGTTTTCTTAAAAATGTGCAGGTTACATTTTTGAAGCACATCTACACACTTATGATCCTCAGTGGGGGCCTTTAACAAATAAAATGTCTTTCTTTAAACTAATGTGCATCTCTGATATCTTCTAAAGACAGGACGGAGTGGTCATACTGGGCAAACCTAAAGATATGTGCAAGAATTTAATTTCAGTCAACAACCCCCCACTGCGTTATTTAAGCAGGGCAATCCGACTGATTCAACATGACTGCATGTGAAATTGCCCTCTTGGCCCAAAAGGCCGATAAAAACCACAGCAGGAGGTAAGCAGACATATTTACAATCTGCCTCCGAACCAATCAGCTTCCCTCGTCTCTTTAAACACTTCAAACAGTAGCTGCAGAGAACAGTGTGGAAAAAATCTTGGCACCGGAAAAAAAAAAGAAAAAGGAAAATTCCCTCATGTGAAAGTACGAGTAACTTCGGCAGGAGAGCACTGTTCATTTATCCTCCATCATCGGGGACGTTTCTTCCCCCTCTTCCTCTCCTCGCTTGTCTCCTTTTCAGAAACGAGGAGGGTCGAAGAGGAGGGGCGGAACGGTCTCTCGCTAAGGCCAGAGTGTCTGGCAGTGTTTAAGTGGCACACGAGGACCTGTTTCTGTCTGCCAAGGCAAATTCATTGTGGAGGCAGGTGGGCCAACACACACACACACACACACACACACACACACATACACTCACACTAACACACACTAACACACATCCTCACTTTAGGACACAGACTTGTGTGTCCTTGCCTTTGTCTCTATGCAGGCTGGCAACCAAAGCAACCAGCTACCGAGTCAGTGGGCGCAAGAGAATCACCATGGCAACCAACATAGTGGGGCCAGGCTGTGGCTGCTCTTGGATCAGTGCGGAGAGTTTTTTTTTTGGGCTTCCATTCAGACGCCGGAGTCGATTATAGAGTTCCTTCTCTTAAATGTTGTTTTTCCGCATCGGCCGATGATCTCATGTGCAGTTTTTTTTGTATCTCTTTGAAAAATAGACAAATATTCAGAGTAATAAAAAAAAACAAATGCAGCTAGGAGTTCAACAGAAAACAAAGGAAGAGAGAGAGGCTCATGATAATATCACGCCCCCCCCCCCCAGTACTCGCACAATTAACCTTGTTAACATGGCCACAAGATCTAGTTCAAACACACACTCATCCATACCCTGACACACACACACACACACACACCACACACAGTTATTAACATAAACAATCAGCCACCAGGGTAGGATTTTTTAAACTGATCGACTAACACAGCAGTGAATGACAGTTTGAAGTGAGTGAAAGGTGGAGTCCACATCCGCTCCCTGGCATTGTGTTTGCATCTGCGACGTACGCAAGGCATAGGCGGGTCCCGGCTTTTTAGTCGACGGACCCGGGTGCAGGCTGAGCGCGGGAGGGTCCAGACAGGTGGGGGAGTAACTGAGGTGAGGTTCTTTAATCCACAGGAGGGGGGCGCCGTTCTTGCCCTCTTGACTCTTGCTGTTGCTGCGGCTCTTGTAGCGCACGAACAGCAGGGCGATGAGGAGGGCGCCGAAGATGGGGAGGGTAGAAGAAGACGAAGTAGAAGAGGGCGTCGGTGGATGCAGACGACCGACTTGAGAGTGGACACTGTGGACGGAGGAAAGATCAGAATCAGAATCACATTTTATTGTCCAGGTATGCTTACACACACACACAAGGAATTTAACTTCAGTGAACTGAGCTCTCTTATGAACAGGTACAACATTAAATATCAACAATAAACAGAATAAGAAAGACTAATATTTACATGACTAAATATGAAACAGTGCAGTGGTGAAGAGTGCAAAAGATGCTGAAGTAACATGATGAAGAAATGCAGTTATGTGAAAGATGGGTCAGTTAAAACATGTTGATTACAGTATTTACATAAATAAGTGTGTAGATATCATTTAAATTAAATAATAATATATATACAGATATGTATCTTCACAGTGACGGTTGGTTTAGAGTCATTTCACCGTGGCAGGTCTGACACTCTGTGACTGTTTAGCGTTCATCAGAGAAACAAGAACAAAAATCAGTGTCAGAGTTTCTTCAGTATGCCAGAAACTTTTTTTTTTATAAACAGGGTTCATTGATAAAGTCAGAGAAACTACTGACTCCTATAATTGGTATTCATTCAGTTGTTGACACTGGTGAAAAATCTATCTGAGAGCTTAGATCCAAGTTCAGCTGTTACAAGAGTCTGACAGTCTGAGTCTACAAGAGTCTGACTGATACGGGGATTGTTGGGGTCGATACAGAAACCAGCCTGACGAGGCTTCTGCGGAGAGAAACAAACATAAAAGTCAAACATTAACAGATCTTCCAGCTGATTTAGTGATGTTTTCAGCTGGAATGAAACTAGATCTTTTCTACATGGATAGATGGTGCACTGATTTTACACCCATATGACTATGCTAAGGTGTTTAGAATAATCTCTCATACAAGCAGCTGACTATTACAGATTTTATTTTTATTTTTTACACTTTTCAAGATGAAATCAGGGTCAATGTAAAAATTTAAAAAATTGCATTAATCCTATGCTATTTTGTCCTTATGATGCACTGTAGTCATCGCCTTCCTACAGCTGCAGTGGATCATTTCACTTAAAAATATCTTCCCAGACAGCTCAGTGACAAGTCAAAAGTAATATGCACATCTATTTTTTGGGCCATTTTTGCCATTATGTGATAGGACAGCTGAAGAGAGACAGGAAACGCTGGGAGTAGAGAGAGGGGATGACGTGCAGCGAAAGGCTGAGGTTTGAATTCAAATCCACAGCTACTGCGGCGAGGACGACAGCCTCCGTACATGGAGCACATTGACATCACCTCTAGCCATCAGGCTCCCCAAATGTTTCCCTGTTTTAACTGTGTCCTTATTTTCAGATTTTTTGATCAACCAGAAGTTCCTTATTTTATTTTCAAAATAAAAGCAGGTTTGCATCAAAACCGGAAGTGAAGAAGAAGAGAGATGATTCTCTCTTCCAATTCCTCAATTACATTTTTCACTCTGTTATTGAGACACAAATGCTAAGGAGGACACACAAAGGCTAAGGTACCCTTATAGCTTTAAAGAGAACAAAACACAAATAAAGGAGGCACAAAAAATATTTTGAAATGCAAAATATTGCG